CGCGGACCAAAAGCCATTCGATGTAACCAAGATGATGAAAAAACCCAACAAAGACGGTTCTGGCTTCACAATACTAAAGAACAAAGCTCCGAGATGGCACGAGCAGTTACAATGCTGGTGTCTAAACTTCCATGGACGAGTAACCGTTGCTTCGGTCAAAAACTTCCAGCTGGTTGCAACCATTGACCAGAGTCAGCCGAGCGGTAAAGGCGATGAAGAAACAGTGCTTCTTCAGTTTGGTAAAGTTGGAGATGACACATTCACAATGGATTATAGACAGCCTCTCTCTACTTTTCAAGCTTTTGCTATCTGCCTCACAAGTTTCGGCACTAAACTTGCCTGCGAGTGAAAAACCAATAAAGAAAAAGAATGTTCATGTTTTGATGTAATCATGTGTAAGTGTAAACAAGGTATGTAAAAGGAGAAGCACATAATTATTTCTAAGTAAGCAAAAAAACAATTGTAATATGAAGAAACAAAATCAAAATGTATCTCTTCTATATTTATGTTTTTTTTTTTTATTCCTAGCTTAGTAAGACAAAAATGTGATAATTGTTCGATTTTGCGACGCCACAATATAATGTCAAACTCATACGTGCATGAATTGCAATCGAGAGAAATCCGTATGTTTGTAGTTTTTTTTTATATGAAAAGAGAACAATTAATTCTGAAAACCTAATTTGTAGTATTTTATATCTTCTTCTTTAAGATGTTATTAATACAATAATCTTTCATTAAGTATCAAATTTTATCATATTGACAATTTATCATTCATCCCTATCCGTAACATAAGTATTTAGGTAAGAGAGTAATTTTTTTGTTATTATTTTTAAAAAGTGGGTGATTAAAAATATTAAAACAACATTAATCATAGATAGATTATTTGTTTTTTGCTTTGTTTTCTTGGCAAAATCCTAATCCAAATAGAAGAAAATAGATATAGACTATAAATACGGTTGCATTGGTTAAGAAATAAAGCGTATAGAGAGACGATGGACCAAGATAATAATACTTTCCTTATATTTATAATCCTTACAATCCTCAC